TGTAGGGTAAAGGGACAAAGAAAGAAAAGCATTGACTTCTGACTCTTTTTGGCATAGTAGAATAAGGTAATATAATTAGTGCAACTTTTAAAAAAATGCTTTATACTCCAAGCACAATCACAAATCAATAATTTGGGACAAATGCAATCATTATTTCTATAGCAGTCATCAAAATAAAGTATGATCTAAGAATGAGAAGCCACATGTGATAGAGGAGCAACAGCACAAAATTCAGATCATGGTTTGAACAAACAAACCCATGACATATCAGTGGCCTTATTTTATTTATTTTATTTTATTTTTATCATAACAGCCTTGTTTCTACAACATTCTAGAAAGCTCATGCCTGGTTCATCCTGTGACACTTTCCAAATATATATTTACTAAAGTCTGGATTATCCAACGACATTCATCATCATCTCTATTGTTCAGCAAGTTTAAGCAATGAAAGTAGAAAGAAACTCAATCATATCTACCAGGCTGCAACCTTAATTTAAATACTTGTTTTCAAAATCAAATTCACCCGCATAATATCACACAAAATTCTCAGGGTTTCAGCCCCACATAGCGATGCTCTAATAATGGCTTACGTTCGTTCAGCAAGTGGCCTTCTCTGATCTCTTCTTAAACAGCAAAACCAGAATCAACCTAGAAACAGAAGCTGCCCAAACAGAATGGATCCAGCTTAATCAAAGAGGTCAGACCTGTTTTCCAACCAGCTGTTGGGCTGATATGCCTTAGATGCAACTTTCCAACCAATAGCATGTGACTAATAAGCCCTGCCATACTGACAAGAAACCAGAAGTGTCTGATACAAGCCGGGCCTTAAAAAAAGCAGAGCAATGCAGCTGCTGGGATGGTGAAGAGCTTGCTATAAAAAGAACACTGCTCCACAGCTCCAGAATTTTTGGCTTGAACAGGCTTCTCCCAAGCTAAATAAGAACATAGAGGAAAAGGTATTACAGGGTTTTTAATTTCAGCAATGACTCAGGATTAGAAATTGTCAAGCTTATCTCAAATCTATGTCGGACTGAGCACCTCTTTTGAACATACCCAACCTGCTTCCTTCTCATTCTCCTCAACTGGTTGCCGACTCCCCATTACACCTTGGAAACTTTCCTTTTAGATGATAAGAATCTTAACAGCCCATAGTTGGCAATATTTTTTTTAAAAAGCTAAATACTTTTCACAAAGTAGCTTAAGGAAAACTCCTTTGATTAGGAAGCATGTAATTATTTACTCAATTTATATAGTCACTCATCTCATATTAGTGACTGGGTGACTCATGGAGAATTAAAAATTTAAATAGAGCTGAAGTATAATAAATAGACATAATGGGATTCAAGGACAACAATATACATCAGCAAATACCACCCCAATCATGAGGGGCCAATTATCCCTGTTTCTCACATCCATGTAAATTAATTTTGACGCAAAAACCCCCCACCTGTCACTTACTTTTCTATTTTATTTTTCCTGACATTCTCTAAGTCTGTCTGCAACGGGATTTTTTTTCACTTCAAAATAAACCCCAGTAACTGCTAACGTGCATGTTTTATGTATTGAGCACAAGTATTTAAGAAATACGGTATCATTTGTTTTTCTGTACCTAGAACAGATATTTGGATAATACTATAACATGAACTATATACAACAGAATTCAAGGTAAAGTCTTATTAAGAATGTTTAAAGAAAATGAGAAGAAGCAAGTGGCTAGGTGAGAGAACGAGAACATCCACCTTAGTTTCCCTATAATGTAGTTCTAAATATGAAAAATCAGCCATCTCTCTCTCTCTCTCTCTCTCTCTTTATTTTCTTTTCTTTTCTTTCATTCTATTTGCTTGACAGGGCCATTTAATTCATCGTGTTCAGAAATGTGATTTGAATAAGATTCAGCTGGGTCTCCTACTGAAGTTACTTTAAAACACAAACAGATCTAAAATGGACAATTTGGATAGCTAGTGTGCATAAACATGTTCTTCCCAACTGATTCACAACTCTGAATCAAATCGGGTTTTTCAATCAAGTGTTTTAATGGAAAGTTACTCAATTCGTGTTTCTTGAACTAACATATAGAACAAAATGTAATTTTGTCCATTTTTAAATTTAGTAAGTTCTCCAAAAAAAAGGTTTACAAATGTGTACAGAAAAAAGATACATACATTTTTTTTTTATTTATTTTTTTTATTTAACACTAACTTATATGCCGCCCTTCTCCCCACGGGACTCAGGGCGGCTCACAGCACATTAAAACAACACAAAAACATTTCCCCTATAAAAGCCAATTAAAACCAAATATTTATAGCTGTGACATTATTAAAATCTTTAAAAAATTTTCCCTATTTAAAATTCACCCTAGGTCAGTCCCGCTTGCTGAA